TCTGCCTTGGTTTCCCCATTAATAAAATAGAGATAAGATGCAGGATCTTACAGGCTCGAAATATTCCTTAATATTTGTGCAGTGATTTGTGGGAAGCTGAATGGAAGATGCTCCTACATATAGTACGGTTCTGCATCCCCTACCGAGCATTTCCTTAGAGCTCAGCACCAGCCAGCAAGGAAGTGTATGGTGAGGAATGCATCCATTTCTTCCCTTCTGATCTCACTTCTTCAGCCTGCATCTTCTTCAGTCACTCCCTACTAGCTTGAGGGCAGGTTGGAGCCTGTGAATACTGACAGAATTTCGAAGGGGACAGATTCAGAACCAGCCTTTAACTCCACCTGTTTTGGAAGATGCTTACACTGAGTGTTGAAGGAGTCTGACAAGGAAGTGCAGAAACCTCGCACTGGTGAGGCACTCCTTAAGTCCTGCCTGTACTGCCTATTCCCATAGTAATTCAGGTAGGGGTTGAAAAGTTAGTTGTCACAGTGATGGGACCTACCTGAATGGCATGATACAGGATTATTAGCACTGCAGGTACAGGCTGAGGTTAGCTTGTGTTGGAGTTTTAAGAACATACTGCACTGTAAGCAGCTTGGACATGGGGTTATGGGAAGCCTGTACTGTGTGTGTGTGTGAGAGAGAGAGACTCAAATTCACTTAGGTCACAGACATCTGAAGAACAGTATCATGGCCTTGAAACATTGATGTCAGCCTGTTGCTGTGGGTCCTGTTGTTCTTACACCCATTGCCTCTCCACAGCTAGAGCTATACTGTCTGAGCTCTTGTTAGCAGAATGAATTGCAGTAACCCTTATGACTGCCTCTCCCAGGCCCATCTGCTTAGCTGCATCCAGCACTGTCTAGCCTGGTATAAGAGCACCATGCACATGTGTCCAGGACCTGTGGAGGAAGATGATGATGAGGAGGAGGACAGTGTAGGATTCCTGGAAAACCTTGAGGAGATTCTGGACTCTATCACACGGCGGATGATCAAGAGTGAACTGGAGGACTTTGAGCTGGTAATTCCTCGCAGGGATCTTCCCAGCAGGGCCAGGCATGGAAAGACTGAATTCCTGTGGGGTTTGGAAGAGTCTAACAATTTCTTCCCATGGTCTCCTAGGATAAATCAGCGGACTTTTCCCAGTCTTCTGGTGTTGGCGTGAAGAACAACATCTATGCAATATTGGTGATGGGAGTCTGTGAGGTCCTGATCGAGTACAACTTTAGCATAGGGAACTTTAGGTAAGGTGTCAAATCCTACCCTTTAACACCACATGCCCACTACTCTAGCTCACAGAAATTCTTTGGCTGTTCAGAGTGGGTAGGGGATACAGACCATTCACAGTCGGTGGCTCTGGTCTTTTTCTTGCAACACTGGAGCACCAGGCAACCTTCTCCTACCCTCTCTGTACACGGGTGCTCATTGACTTCTAACCTTAGGGAACATATTGGTTTTGAGTGTTGTGATGATAAAATGAGGGAGGTGGCCAAACTAGCATGGTGTGATGAGGACCCAGGATGTTTGTGGGGAGGATAAGGAGACATCAGTTGTCATGGATAGACTGTGTAGAAAGCCTCTTTCATGAATGGATGACTGAAACTTGACAAAAACAGCCTTCCTACCCAGTCATCAGTTATTTATAACTCTCCATTGCAGCAAAAACAAGTTTGAAGAGGTTCTAGGTCTGTTTCAATGTTACAACAAACTCTATGAGATCCTGAAGGAAAAAGCTGGGAAGAATAAGTCTGCTTTGCTCAATAAAACCCCACGAAGCTTCCTGTCCATGAGCTTTGTATCCACTCTGCTCACAGCTTTGTTCAGGTAGGGAGCTGTAACTTGTCAACTCTTCCATGGGGTTCATATGCTGCCAGCTTTCTCTGCAGTCCACACTACATGCACCAGAGCTAGGCTGTCTCACTGCTATGTAAGGAGCATATATTAAGGCAACACAAGCAGTTCGGAGAGACCAGCAGGGTGTTGACCAGAGCTGTGTAAGCTGGTCATTTCCAGCCCTGTGACTGCCCTCTTTACCCATCTGCTTTACCCCCAACAGCTCCAACAGAGCTTCTTACTCCTGACATTGAGTCTCTCCTTATCCCTAGTAGTACCCTGGACCATCAGTCCAAACATGAGGCAGTCCTTGCTAGTCTAGTTCTGGGCTTCTGCTGGGCAGATCCAGCTCCTGGTACCCAACTACAAATTTTGCTGTAGTTGAAAAAGCTGCCAGAATGCTGACCTTAGGCTACTGACTCCATGACCCAGATGAAGAACTGGCCTTTCTACTTCCTCAAAGATTCTTCTGCTGTTTTGCAGTCAGGATAGAGACTGATTTTATTTAGTTAATGGAAGCTCTTTGTCTGAAGCAAAATGATATGGCAGCCTGAAGCAAGACAGTTCTGTAGATAGTTTGATCTTACCCAGGGTCCTATTTATGACTTGACTCAAAGCCAAGCTCTGGTGTTCCAAGCTAGCCTCATGTATCGTTAAAGTGGATTCCTAACCCTATGCCTGGAGTTGTTGATTAAAGACACTGGCCTACCTGGCTGGAGTCATTTGAGCCCAGTTTTTCTCCTGCCCAGGCAGGGGGTCGGACTTGAAGATCTACAAGGTCCTTTCCAACCTGACTTCTATGATTCTATGATGATGTGTCTTTTCAGGGACAGTGCCCAGAGCCATGAGGAGAGCCTGGCAGTCCTGCGCTCCAGCAGTGAGTTCATGCGTTATGCTGTGAGTGTTGCACTGCAGAAGGTGCAACAGCTGGAGGAGACGGGGCAAACGGATGGACCCGATGGGCAGAACCCTGAGAAGATGTTCCAGAACCTCTGCAAGATCACTCAGTGAGTCCCTGTGTGGCCTCAAGACCGTACTGCCAGCCTGCAAGTACTGGGACTTTAATAAATGCTCATGTCCAATTTTGAAAAAGAAATGGAATCTGTGGGTGTTTGAGACCAGCAATTAGTGCTGAACGGTAGTTGCCTTTCTAAGTTCCTGGGAAATCTGAGCTGCAGACAACTTAACCGCTCCACCTGAATGAATGACAGGCCAACTTGTGTAGATAGAGGTATGAAAGAATCATTCATAACCCTGACTTTCAGCCTCCTTCTGGAATGTGGTCTGTCACTCAAGAACGGCTCCAGGCTAGATTTTCTTAGGTCTTTGGGAGGCAATTTAGATAATTCCACTCTAGTTGCCCTTCTCTCATGTCTTCTTAATAGTGCAAGTCTTTCACTTCTGGCAATGTTTTAGAGATTAAAGCCATGGTCTTGAATCTGTCTCATTCCTTAGGTGCACAGTGCTAGAGAACAGATGGCCATATAGTAACACTGTGATTAGTAGGTATCACTTATATTGTCACAGAGGGAGAAGGAAGAATGAAATAATCGGGTTGGTCAAACAGAAAGAAAACAGTAGGTAGGCAGCCTGCACAAAATGAATTCTGTCTTTGCAATGAATCTCCTTCCTCTGCCTTCACTTTTTGAGAGACACAAAAAGATGTGAAAAGTCAATCCAGATAGTTTAAGCCTGTGATTGGCTCTTCCCTAGGCAAATGCAGTGCTGCCAACCATGCCAGGACAAGTGTTACTAATGCCCTGCCCCTTCTTACAGGGTCCTATTGTGGCGATACACCTCCATCCCAACTGCGGTTGAAGAGTCTGGCAAGAAGAAGGGCAAGAGCATCTCGCTGCTATGCTTGGAGGGTTTGCTGAAGATATTTAATTCAGTGCAGCAGCTTTACAGACCTAAGATGCCCCAGTTCTTAAGGGCCCTGGGTAGGTGCTCTATCTGTAATGAAATGGGGTGGTTGGGTTCTCATTGATGGGCTATGTATTCTCAGGAGAGGGATTTGTTCCATGCCAATTCAGTACCAGCCCCAGGTCACTTGTCTTGGAGCTCCACTCAACATTGCTTGCCTGAGGCTACTCCCAGAGATGTGAGGGCTCTGTAGACGCAACTAAATCCATTGGTAGAGCCTGGTTGGAAGGTTTGACATAGCTTGTCCCTGGGTACAACCTGCTTCTAGCCATTGTTTCTGTTCTCTGCAGCTCCCCAGCCCATTTTGCTTCGTGCCATATTTAGGAATAATTGTGGCTTTGGGAAGGGGGTTGTGTGTGTGGCTGCAGCGCGCCACAGGTTTCTCCCTTGGCACTTGATTTGTTGCCACCTCTTGTTCTGTCTCTGCCAGATGTTACTAATGACGAGGGAGAAGAAGTGGAAATCAATGTCATGGAGAAAGCTGCCTTCCAGATCCGACAGTTTCAGGTAAGCAGCAGGAACATTGTGTGGCATGGCATGTTTGGGTTGTCCCCAAACACTGGTTAACTTGTGGCAGCCTCTGGATGCTTTGCCTGAGCTGCCAGTTTGCTGCTGCTTGAACAAGATAAAGATAATGTCCTGCCACTGGCTTGCTCAGTGATTCACTAGCCTTCCAGGAGAATTTCTTGCCAGTTATGAAAGCTTCTGTGGGCTTATTGCAGAGCTCCACTGCACTGAGTGCTTCTGTAGCTTGCTGCATCCCTTCCTCAGCAGATCAGTGTGGTGCATTAGAAAGCAGGGATAAGGGCCTGAGGCAATGTGCGTGCTTCTGTGAGTGGTCTGAAAGGACCTTGCCATAGTGCAGACTGGCTCTTGTTTAAAAGCTTGTAGTAGAACCCAGTACTCGCAAGTGGCATCTTTAGAGAGACCTTGCTAATAAATTCTGCTGCCTGAATGTTGGTGCTGCCGGTGCTTCTGCCTGCCCTGGTCCCTTGGCCTTTGCCTGACTGTGCATGCTTATGGTTTTTCTTCTTCTCTCTTCCTTGCACTAAGAGGTCTCTGGTGAACCAACTCGGCAGTGCGGAAGATGACTTCAACAGCAAGGAAGCCCTGTCGCTTGTGACTCTTCTCTCCACTTTGTCCAAGCTCTTGGAGCCCTCTTCTTCACAGGTACTCGGCAGAGGTGAAAGCAGATATGGGGAGTGTGTAGCTATGGCATTGGCATGGGGTGGGTGGGGGAAGGTTAGCGGCTCAGTTGGACACCTGACTCCAAGATGGTTTGGAAATGCTCATCCCTTCTGTGCTGGCAAACAGAGCAAGCACTGTCTGTGTAGCAGGTCTCCAGGCTGCTGTACTAAATGCCTTCAGGAAAGTCAGATTCAGCCCCACCTAAAAGTGGGGGATCGTTCGCACTGGTTGGTGCCCTGCATAGCCCAGGCAGGTGTCGTACAAGCTCTCTCAGTACCTCAGCTAACTGCTCTGTATTACTTGTATTGTGGTAGCACCTACTGACCCATTGTGCCAGCACTGTACAGACACCTAACAGAGAGTCCCTCCCTCCTACCCCATCTTCCCGCTGAGACCATCCTGACCTCCCTTTACAGCCCTGCCAGTGCCTCAGTTGTGATTTGCAGTTCTGCCCTTTCTGCACCCTCCCTCACACCTCAGGTGTGAACTGCTGTATCCCTGCAAGCTGCTCTTCTGAACAGTAACTGTTGGTTAAGTAAAGCAGTGCTTGTATTTCCATATGAGTATGGATCCAAGTCAAATTATGACTAGTCTGACCCCAACTTTCCAAAAAAAAAAAAAAAAAGGGTGGTGGGGAGGGAAGAGAAGGGGGAAGTGCCTGCCGTCTCATACACACTTGCAACATTAAAGGGCTTGAATAGGGGTGCCCAAAATTTTGCCTAGCCAACAGATGCACTGAAAGTTTGTCAGGAACCAATAGATCTCATTTACCTCAAATTAAATGGAGGAAATTATAAGGGGCCATGGCTGAGAGGGAGTACAGACAATCATGTGTCATGAACTGTCTTGATCCCAGCATCTGCCAGTAAAACTCCACATGCAACACTTGAGTGTCTTCCTGCTAGCAGGTGTCTGTTTCCTGGAGGGTCCAGCTGCTGCTGTGCTGAGAGCATTGCACTCGGGCTGATATTCAGTTTAGTTCTGCCATTTAATGCAATGTGTTATGTGTGTCAACTTTGGCTTCATGTGGAACATTTTCTCCTTGTGTAGTTCACACAGTTTTTCTCCTGGACCGTCAAAATTTGCAAGGAAAACCACCTGGGTGAGTAGGACTTGTGGGGTCACTGCAGAGTTTCCCTCCTCCCCATCCCTAGCTTCCCAGAACTGCATTGTACTTTGTAGAGGTGGTCATTCTCAGCCTCGCTGTCCCTGCTCATGGTCATTTAACTGCTTGATGATGATGGCAAGCAGCCCCTTAAAGTGCACAGCACATCTCTCCTAGTCGCAGTAGAATGGACAGTGGTATCTCATTGCCCCTTTACACGCTGGACTAGGGGAGGGAGAATTGTGTCCTCTTTGGAACATTTCACTCCTGAAACATCCTCATCTGACTTGCTGTAAGCTAAGGGGGATGGTTAGCAGAGATGTTGGGTCATAGCTAAGGCTGTTTGTGGAATGCTGTCTGCAGATTTCTTGCTTTTCAAGCTCCTCCTTCATAGCCGCGGCATTTTGATAAGGTTTAATGCAGCCCAAGCTGCACCTCTTCTGGAAACATAGTGCAGGGACATGCACAGGATGGCCGGCATTTGTGACTAGTCAGTGACCACAGCTTCCTCCCTTCCCACACAGAGGATGCCCCTTGCTGTAAGGCCCTGCTGACCTTGCTCTTCAACCTTCACGTTCTCTACAAGAGCCCTGTCGGCCTTCTGCGTGAGCTTGCCCAGGATATCCACGCTCACCTTGGGGACATAGATCAGGTATAGCCCACAGGTGCAGTCCCCAGCGCCTTCTGGTGTTGCTGAGGTGTCATTGGAGCATATCAGGAAAAAGTTCCAAACCCTGCAGCACTGTGCCTGACTCTTTGGTACTGATTGCTGGAGTCTCTCTCTTTCCCTGCAGGACATAGAAGTGGAGGACCGGTCCCATTTTGCCATTGTGAACTCCAAGACAGCAGCCCCTACTGCCTGCGTGAGTTGGAACTGAGTGTATCAGAGTTTGGCACAAAGCTCTGAGTGAGTTGAGCTGTGCCAAGAAACCCACTTTGTCCCCTTCTCGCTTTCTTTCCATCTTAGCTGCTGGTCCTGGCTCAAGCAGAGAAGGTCCTTGAAGAGGTGGATTGGCTGATCAAGAAACTTAACCATTTGGGATCAGAGACTTCCGGTAACAAACTGGGCCTTTGTTTTGCTTTGATCCCTGAAGGAAAGGAGAGAGCGCAAGGAAACACCTCACAGTTTTGAACCACCATCGCATTGGTATTATGTGGTGGCAGTAAAGGTGCCTTGTATGTGCTTGTCCCAGGACAGAACTGGAAGGGATAGCAATATACTTTTTAAACAGTCCTTACATTATTCATCCTGCTCCACACCTGCCTGCATGCGCGCACACACCTGCACATGTACACCCACCTGGTTTTGCTTCACTTGTATCTCGTGAAGATGGGAGCTTGTATCTTGCCATCCTTGGTATTGGTAGGGACTGGGTGTCAGTGTCATGCCAGGCTGCATGCATGTTCAGAAGAGGGCTGACTGCTTGATTGGGGGGCAGGGTAGGAGGGAGGGACTGAACATGTGCACTATGGGATGGCAGAAGAGTTACTGTGCACTTGCTGCCTAGGCCATATTGCACTTTAGTTCA